TATTTGAGAAACAGGAATTAGCTACATGTTTGCATTTTTTAAGGAAAATGTAACAATTAATCAAGTATTTAAAAAAAAATGCCAATACATTTTTCTTCAAATCGACACAAAATGCAAAGAATACGCTCTAGTAATATTCTTTTACTGAATTTCACTTCAGTGATTCTTGTTGACCTTGCAGGATCTGCGGAGACACAGCTCTGGACAAGAATATCCATGAATCTGTCAGCGCTCAAATCAAGAAGAACTTTGCCAAAAGTAAATGGAAGGTCAGTGCCTGAACCACAGAGCGGCCTGCTGAAAGAGCACATTCAGTACGCCTGTGCTTCTCCCTCAGTAGCTGTCACACACAGATTGTTTTCCCTTTCTCTCTCTCTGTCCATGAAGCAAGCATTTAATGCCACAGCGGTGGTGCGCCACATGCGGAAGTTGCAGCTGGGCACAAGTCTCGAGGGACCGAGTCAGATTACTCCCACAAGTCCCTGCCATGGACATCTGCTCCCAGAGGAAGAGGCGGAGGAGGAGGAGGAGGAGGAGGAAGACGAGTTGGGGAATGGGGAGGAGGAGAGTTGTAAGTCATCACTTTACAGTCAACAAACAAACACTATTTTTTAGTCATATCAGACGTGCACATTAAGTTAATTAAACTAAATGTATTACATATAATGCTACATTGTAATTTCACAGCATTTAAACTGTCTAAGATTGTGGGGCCAAATGTACAATCTTTCAGTTGATCTTTCTCAAATCAAACCATCTATCCTATATTAAGTGGATGAAGCATTAGAAAGATAAGGATTCTGCTGTTCTAAGACAAATGTATAGAAGGCAGAAAAACTAAGCCTTAGAATGTACAATAAAAGGATGAGAGGATGAATGAGTGTGAAGAGGCATAGTCCAATCCAATCCAACTTTATTTATATAGCACGTTTAAAAACAACAGAGTTGACCAAAGTGCTGTACATCAATAAATATATAAAAAAGTGGGAGGGAGGTGTGTGGATAAAGGAGGTTAGAGGTTAAGCTAAGGCATGGCCTTGTTTCCTAAACACAAGATAACTTATGGATATTAATATTGTACTTGTAGCTGTTGGTTAACTTTTTATTACCCAGGATTGGCTAATTATGATAACTTCACAGTGTTGGACATGACTTCTATTTGGAAAGCCTTAGGAGGCTCCCACTGCTAGACTGGCTACATTTAGTTTTGCACGAGTTACATTTTCCTTCTAGTGTGATGGTGAGTGCAAAGTTATTATTACCCGTAATCTCCTTATGCTCCGTTGTTTTGCTCTAATCTCCAGTATCCCACTACGAGGACGGTCGCCGTGGCAGCACCGAGGGCAGCGCAGACCGGGACAGCCTGAGAAGCTGCACCTACTGCTGCAGGCCAGCCAGTCGCGTTTGAACCCAGCCTCCGGTTGTCATGGTGACATCGTATCCCTGGAGCGCCCAGAGCCCGCCCGCCCGCCCAGTCTGGCCAGGAATGCAGAGTAGTTATCAGGCAGTGTCCACCAGAATACATCCACAGCCAGCAGGTCACTTTGTGGAGAAATATACTGTAAGTCTTTCCCCCACAATACAAAATACAACATACACACATCGTCACTCAAGACACACAAGTTTTACATTTTTGTTGTTGTTGCAGAACAGAATGCAAGGCTGCTCCCGAGTAGACAGTGATTTAAAGAAAGGGCCAGTCTGCATGATAAGCAACCTAACATAGAGTTGTCCAGCTACAGCAGACATGAGTCATTACAGTGTGTTCTGTAAAATACGTTGTTAGAAGGTTCCAGTCTTCTGGAGTTTAATCAAAGAATAGGCAGTGGCCCAAAGGCAGACTTCTCTATAATTTGTGTTCTCACATTATCTGTCACATCTACCTCTATTCACAATTAAGGTCAGTTTCCATCCATCTGGCTCACGCGCTCTACATTACTGGCAGTCTTCTCCAAAAATCTGGCCAGACAGGGCACAAAGAAAAGGGAAACACTGAAAGCTACTCCTGCATGTCTTAATACTCCTTACCCCTCAATGTGACTCGCTCCGGTCGCTGACCAAGTAGCTGTTTAGTTGAATAGTGTTCATCTTGAGGCATGACTTCACTGCCGATGCCCCCCTCCCATTTGTTCTGTTTTATCACTTTTTTCTCATATTAAGTGTTTCTGTCCTTTTTATAAGTATTTCATTATTTTTTAAAGCTTTTTTTTTTTTATTGGAGGTTGATTCTAGGGACTTTGGACTCTATATTCTGGCTCAGACTGGGTTTGTGAAGAGCGGTTCTTACCTGGAGTGTGTGCATGCTTCTGTTGGAAAATATTGAAATAGATGAATATCAGAAGGAGACTTTCTGTTTTATGGCTGTTCTGTTAGGAGAGGCTCAAACTGAGATCCCTGTGCACCTGTAAATCAGAGGAATCGTATCTGACTATCCTCTGTGAGCTCACATCATGTAAGAAAGAAAGAGTTGGGTTACTAAGTGTTGCGAATCCACTGTGTGTGGGAAGAAAAAGATCATACATCACCATGCACATTCTCCCTGTTCTGTTGTTGACAAGCGGCTAAATATTGTCCGGCTCTGGATTTTATGCCGGGTCGGAGGGATCTCAGTCTGGGCGCTCCGCCTGCTCTGTGCTGTGCACCTCTAGTGGAAGAAGTTTTGGTCTACTGTTTGCATGACCTGGTTAAATATGTTTACATGAATGATGATCAATTAGTATACACACACGATTATTATTACTCTGTTGTATTTAAAAATGATGTAATACTGTAATTTTGAGCTATATAATGTGAAGTGAGTAACACCAGAAGTAATGTTGTTGACAAAGTACAACACAGCACAGTGGACTTATCATTTGCATTTACTACGACGGTCAAGTCTCTACCCGTGACATTTCTCCTGTACTTTGTTTGTTTACAACTCAAATATTCAGTTTTCCTGTCGTTGCTTTTGTATTATTTATTTATTCCCTATTGATACCCAGGCACAAGCAGAAAAAAATACACATATCTTAATTAAACGCATGTGCCAGCCACAGTACAAAACATTAAAAAAGATATACAGATATGCTGGAAATATCACATGTCCGCCAAGTGTGTATTCTTCAGTGTGCATTTGTCCTCCTGGGTAGATGAACTGCAGTACTAAAGCCATACAGTAAAGTGGGGATGTTTAACTGTACATTCAGATATGTTGTCATCTTATAAATATATGACTTCAATTAAGGATGGCTATGATTTGGCACAATATTTAATGTAGAAAAAAAACAAGACAAAATTATTAAATTCAAATCCAAACACTTAAATCCTGATATAAATCACACCATATCGTTGTTGATTTAAGGTATGTCATGTCACCATATTATTAGTTAGCCGTAGAAATAACAAACAAATTCATGCTAGTTCCCTAAATCTGTCATTGACACTTACAGGTCCATAGTAGAATAAAAGAAGGCAATTACTCTGGATTTACATGACGGTAATTGTGGAAAATATGCAAACTGTGTGTGAAGGGCTTCATGTTAACTGTACGATAGCCAATGTTGATGAATTTGATAACTGGCTATTAATTGTTTGGTAATTACCTGTCATTGAACTTTCCCTGGGATTTGTTTCCATTTGGCTGTGTTTTTTTCAATCTTATTTTACCCATTACAACATATCTAAATGCATAAAGAAACATGTGTATATTATATATATAAATATAAGTATATATTGTATATCCTTTTTTGTAAAAGCTGTTTTGAGCTACAACTGTATGGATGCAATGCATCATGGGTTATTGGATAAGATGTAAGAAAATACAATGATTTGTACCCACTGAGATATGATTGCAGGAAATGAAATAAAACCTCCTTGTCTATGCATTGTGTGTTCTGTCATTGTTCAACAACGTTGAAATGTTGCATAAATCTGTGATTCGTAAAGAAGTGTAAGCGATTCAAACTCTTTTTAAACTGATATCACATTATATGCCAAATATAATGTATTCTCATAACTGAAAAAATCTCACTTATTTGACCTCTTTATTTACTTATCAAACTTTCCCTTATATCGTGATAATTATGATAAGTGCTGATGGCCATTCCAAGACATATCATATTCAAATAAATATATATATTAGCTGGATGATTCATGTGGTAATACTGATAATTATCATTTCATAACAAGATTCATGAATACTATCTTTTTTTAATTCAATGTTCACCTTCTGCCATTCATAATAAAATAAATGTTCACAAAAAATGCATATTTTCCTGCATATATCATGACATTGGAAATACATTAATATGTCACAAAAACAAATGTATTGCATGTTGTTGAATATCTTTTGTCAATGTAAACATTACTTACGGCACACTATGGACACAAGATATTTTAATTGTAATCTCTTTTACACCAATTCTCATTGTGGACATCATTGACATTGACAGACGAATCCGATTGTTAACTATATGATACTAAGCTTCTCAACATTATAAAATAGACCTTACATAAAACAATGATATTTACAGGGTAAAGTGAATGCCCAAAAATACATTGAAAAATTCCTTATTATTCCTTATTATACTGACAACATTAAAGTTACGAGTATTATGAGTCATTACAGACATTACAATTAGAAAACGGTAACACATTACCATGTAAATTAACTTTAAAATGAAAACGTATACATGTGCATCTACTGTGTTTACGTAATCCAGTTTTCTGCTGTTATTACATCACAATCCAGTGATGTCTTAATAGATCAGTCATGCATTTCTCATCTATGTGATCCTTGATATTTAAAGACAATTACTTTACTTGACCTGTTTCACCTTTGCTCACTTAACCACTGGAACCATCCACTGCCACATGTCTTACGTCACCTTATCTGATTATTATGTTAACAGTAACAGTGAATACTAGTCTATCCACTTATTATTACCAACGGTCCATTGCGCTGACTTTCAACACAACACATGCACAACATACACTCAAAACGTCCACACTTATTTTCCTCATGCATCCAACACGGCTGTTCGTCTCAGTCTCTCTTTGACTCGGAGGAACTCTGGGCCCTCTCGCTGTTGTCCCTTGTCTCTCTCGAACTGTGGAGATATTAAAATACATTATGCAACATATTAGTTAAAAAGCCTATGCTTGTTTATGAGTACGATACATCTTAATATTGCATATAACAGTTCATATCGTTCATATAACTAGAGCATTATGAAGTCATGATCAATGTTTTTTTTCTTGTAGAAGCTCAGGCTGGACTTCTGCAGTGTCTGAGACAATGCCTGCACTGCCCCCCACTGGCTGACTGCAGAACTACATGATGCTCTTATCAATGTACTATATCTTCTGTGAGGAAATACTGGAAATGTAATATATGACACACTCATGTTTGGTTTCAGAATATGTAAAGAAATTCAAAGTCAATTCAAAATGTAATTGATATATTAGGATGTTGGTATGAAAGAGTGTTAGGGAAATGAGAAGAACAAGTTAGAGGAGGAAGAGGAAGTTTAGAATGTGAAGAATAATGTTGAGAATACAATGACAATGTTTGAGAAAAAGGTTGAATAAAGTTGACATGAGAATAAGGTTACAGTATTAGTGCCAGCTAGGACAACAAACACAAGCTTTTTAAGAATAGAGTTGAGAACTCGAGAAACTATACTCAAACATGTTTTTTAAACAACTCAAGAAAATGCTAAATCAATAAAAAAACGTCCTTGACCCATTTGCTTCACCTTGTGCCTGGCCCTACTGTTTACTCTTCCTTGGATTTGATTGATAGATCTTGACAAGATATTTTTTTAAACTGTTAACTACTATGTGCAAACCTTTTCTAGCCTCTGTTGTCTTTTGAGCAGTTCCTGATGAAATGGTGATCTGCTCCTCTTCGCTTCTTCCTGATCCCTGCTAGCCTTCACCCTTTGTTCCCATCTTCTCTTTTCTAAAGCCCTCTGGAGTTCAGTCTTTCCTTCTTGGTGCACTCTGCTGACAGGAACACAGAAGGACTTTATGATTCATAAAACAAACGAAGGTGAAGTGTGAGTGTTTTTACTAGAGTCTGTGTTACTTTAACAACCTGTTGTGGGTCATCCGCAGTTCTTTGTGGAGCTCCTGGTGGCTCTTGGAGGCTGTTAAAGGATTGAGAGGTTTTTGGGGTCTGATGAGATTACTGTTCTCCTCCTCACTCTGTAGTTGGGACAGAGAAGCCTGGAGCTCCCAGTATCTGTTTTGCTGTTCAAGTTTTTGTATCTGCATTACTGAGGCAAAAGAGAAAAAAACATACAGACTATATCTTTTCCAGTACGATATAGGAATAAAGGACATTTGACACCATGCAGAGACCATATTTCTCCATAGAGTGATAACAACCATGCTGAATAAATAACCCCTTACATTGTATTACAATCACATGGCAAGTATCTCCTCAAGGACCTACCAAACTTTATTATTGATACCACCAGATGAAATAAACATTTGATCAGCTCATCTGTCTGACTAAAACCTGATTGCCTTTTTGCTTCTCTCCAAGCCTCAAATGACTGAAAAGCCTCATGTATTGACAGAGGGAGGGACACAGGTATTTACAGTGCTCTTCCTGATATCAAGACCTCTGGAAATACCACAAACTGCAGCCTCACATAGTCATGAAATTACATGGAAACTTGCCTTGGGAACTGTACAGTTAAAAGTCACCTGGCTATTATGCTAAATGTGTCCCCTCTGTGTAAAGAGATTCTGAAAGTTTCAGGATAAAATATTTGCTCACTTTTTGTCCTGATCCATTTATATAAAAAGTAAAAACCTGTCTGAAGATGAGCTGATCAGATTTTGGCCACCTTGATGTCATAACGATGTTTTGGGTTGTGTAACCATTAGCCAATCATCAACCAAGGTAACCCCCCCGCCCACCTTATCACCTGAATCTCCTCCTAGAGCACCATTGTGTTCTTTTTAACCAAATATCTCTCAGAGGGGCGTGGGGAGTGGCTCCTTATTTTCATCTAAAGTAACAGACAGAGAATCAGCACTTTGGAAACAGGGCTGAAACAGAGGGGATTATGGGATGCTACAAAGCATGATCTGTTGGGTATTTGGAGCAAAACACTTCAGAGACATGTTTTGTATATATCTGAGACCTATAATATATTGAGGAAAAACTGTATAATAGGGGACCTTTAAAGTGAAAACTTTGTGGGTATATGCATGCACTGGTAACTTACTTCTTGCCTGCTGTAGGGCATTCCATCACTGTAATCTTACTTTATGTTCTTTGTGTGCATGTGTCTAAACTGTAAAAAGTGTAAAGTAGTTAGCAAACATTAGCCACCAAAAGCTATTTGTCATGCCAGACCAAGTAACAGAAAATCTGTGTTTTGTCGATAAAGGATTAATATATTCATTTGGTTAGGTCACATTGTGTTATTATTATAATCAAAATGTACATAGTCTTGCTTTAAAACACATTTTACAGACATTACTTAAAAAACTCTGGTTGACACTTTTACTCTTTAATGACGCTTAGAATAAAGAAAATTACTTCTAAAGAAAATACTACTGTGACTACAGATCCACCTTTATCTGTGCCACCTCTGCCCAGTTGTTATTCCCATAAAGTCACAGTTTACCCATCCTTTTATGACAATGATAATAATCTTAACAGACAGATCTCTCACCAGACACGTTCAGGTGCGTCTCTGGAGGATGTTGAAGATCTCTCTGTCAACAGAAGATGCCATGTCAAATAGAATAAAATATGAAAATGTGTTAGTAGTTATTACTACTATACTAAATATAAAAGTGTGTACATAGTGTGACACACAATTGCAGATAAACGATACACATCTCTCAGTCTGTCACCAATGCAGTTTCATGCAAATGACAGAGACAGAGAGAGAGTTGAAAGCATCACAAAGCCGTTTTATGCGACGGACAAATGAAGTGTCATCTCTTGTTCCACATGTCCAGTGAAGCGAGAGCCCTGACGGTGGAGGGCTGCCACCTCATTAATGACAAGGATCAAACAAAACAGTCTGATTCCCACTGAAACTCTCATTTGCTGGAGTTTGAGCAGAAATAATAGTCGAGACAAGAGTGATTCGTTTGTTTGGACTCGGACAGGACTGCTGAAATAAGTCATTCATTTGGTTTCTGTTGTTGGATAAACGACTGGAGATAAATTATGGCAAACTTCTTTTGTTTTGCTCTGAGCACAATCTACTGGTTACATTTTCACTGATCAATGTACGTGTTACATAATGTTTGTTGTGGCTTTGGCATTAGTTGCCATTCAGCTGCAACTTGGCTGAATGTGTTCCAAAACCTGCTTGAATTATTCAGATAAAGTAAAGTTTAAATAAATCTTCAGAATGAGAATAAGGTGCAATCTTGCTGAGGCATTTTAATGACAAGTTTGCTGCTGGCAGCAGTTCGGTTGAAGAGGGAAGAGTCACGCTGTTTGGCCAAGGCTTAGACAGTGGATATTTTGTGGCGAGAATTAATTGGACATGACGGGGTAAACACTCTCCAGGGCTTACTTTCCAGTGTTGGCAAGGCTTGTTTTACAGGATAAAAATCTGTATTTGGTTTAAGCCCTTGCTTTCTTTGGGAAATAAAAAGTAGAGATAACAATAACAGATCAGGAAACTGTCAACAAAAAAAAAAGCTTAAAGGTGATCAAGAACACACATTTAAAACATAGTTTGGGTTTTTCAGGAACACACAAGAAAGTATTTTGACACATGGATGCTTCTGCTGGATTATTTTAACAGCACACGTGTTATGTTTTAAAGAGAAAGACAGAAAATAAATGAAGAATATACATTTACAAACGTACCTTCTTTCCATGTGTGACCCCCATGTCGTCGGTCTGAATCCAGATTCAGTTTCTGCACAGTGAACTCACAATGGACAGAGTTGTGATAATAATTTGAGGTTGCTCTCCCTCTCCCTCTCTACTCCATCAGCCAATAACGCCAGAGAGAGCAAACTGTTCTGTGTTTTGACCAATGTCGGTGCTACCAGGGAAGCAGCGACCGAGTGGAAGACACACCCTGGAGAACAGGCCAAAAGTGCTGGAAGAATATTCAATGAACAAGTACTTCATTTTAAAGTAAACTGCTATTGTTAAACATTAAGCTGGTTTAAATATGTCTGGTTTAACTTCTTCAGCTCCAGAGAGGTCAAAGTATCCAACATTGCATGAATAAAATAAGCTTTGGTGAAATGCTAATTCATTATACAAATGTGTTTATCAGAATCTTATTTTAAATAATTGCTGTTCTCTCAATCATTATCTCAAGACCCTTCGCATTGTTGATTTGCCCCTTTGGAGGTGGCTGGACCCCGATGTGGGACAATAAGATGATCTTTACATACACAGACTAGCGGCACCTTGACCAGCTCTGCTGAAATTCAGTTTTTTCTTTTCTTTTTTCTTGAAACTGTTCATTTTTAGACTACGGCTGTATATGTTCCCTGCTCCTTCATTCCTCTAGTTCCCCTGCCCAGGTGTGCTGCCAGGTGCACCTGGAAGTCTTAAAGCTCCAGTGCCAGCAGAAGCAGAAGGGGGGGGGGGGGGACTGCTGTGTTTCTGCCTCACATCCCAGGATGGATATTTGTGCACGTCACATGTTTGATTATAATAAATCCTATGGATTTGATCATTTTAAAGGTGTCTGTGTTGTATTTGGGTCAGTGGTGGAATTGTGTTATCCCCATAGGGCCACCTAAGGGTGGGGCGTAACACACTGCATATGTATCCAAACTAAAGATAAGGTTCTGAACCTCTTTCTCCTCTGGTATACAGATTGAAATGGAAAACTAATACATGTGTTTCCATGTTAAGAACAATGCTGTAGCACATATTTGTTCTGCCTTTTCTTTAGCAGAACAAATATTATCCATGCCAAAACTCTTGGGATATTCCTCATTCCTCCATAGATAGTTTCAAAATATCCAGTCTCCTTTGTCGATATTGAACTTTGTCAATGGGTCAATTTTGCACAACTTTCCATTCCTTGAATTTTTACTTTGCATGTTATATTAGAATAAACAGCGATAGTCAAGTCCGGTCAATTTTATTTAGATAACCCAGAATCATTAATGACAAATTTGGCTCAGACGTCTTAATACTAACTCTAACTAAAGCCACAAGTAAACTATAAACAGTTACTCAATGTGTCAAAAACATTGTGAATAAGTAATATTGAATTTCCACAGTGAAGTACTAAATAAGTCATGTTCTCCTTTTCATCACAAAACTTTTCCATCAGTAAGGGTCCTTGGGTAGCAGCCAGACAGCTCCACAATCTCCGGCCAATCTCCATAAACGTTGGTGCTCTCATCATTAGCAGCTTGCTGACGGGTGGACAGGGAAGAAGACATTGCTTTTACCATCAATTATCTTACCTTTACTTGTTTTTTACTTTAAGTGTTCTTTAAAATAGATGTATTTTCTGACACAAATGGAGCAGGCTCACTAACCATCTCAAAGAGGCTTTTGTTGTCTCTCCCTGCTCCTCCAGCAAACACCCAGTTATCTCTGTGCTTCACAGACGTGATCAAAGTGCTTCCCATTCCGAAAAACACCTCCCTCATCTCGTCTGTCATTCTGCCACAAAGTAGTAAAAGAGGGTCATGTTGTGTGATATGAAACCGTGTCAACTGTTGAATCATTGAGATGTGGACTTACTTTGCTGTCACATCATCAAACGAGGCCACCAAGACAATCATTCCAGGATCTATGTTCTTCAGGTATGCCAGGATGTCATCTGCATCTTTTGATATTAAAAAACATCATCTGAAGGTTTCAATTAAACTTTTTTTATTTAAAACAAGAACAAAAAAAACTAAGAAAACTCTTACTTCCAATTTGCATATTAAGGTAGGCAGATGTTTCCACATCTCCATTTCCACCTGAGGTGGAAGAAAAACACGTTATTTCACATTATAACGGACCAAAGTAGATCCTCAACTCTTCTGAAGCTTTTGATCATATCACATGATCTTCATCAGTAGATGGCATTTACCCAATTGTTATGGAAGTAAAGAAGTTATATTATCCTATTTTAGGAGCACTTCAAGGTTTTTTCCCATTTCATGTGTGATGAAAATCATAGAATAGGACCAGAAGCTCCAGTACAGCTGGTAAATTAACCTCAGACAAGATTGTATTAAAAACTATAGGTTACTTACGTAACCCCAGTTCTCAGAGTAACATGAAGTGAGATGTCTCACTATGGGATGCGCCTCATCGCGGAGCAAACAGAAGCATCAATCTCATTACGCCAATCCTGATTGGCTGGTGATCTTGACGTCAGCGTCAGGGAATTCACCCCCTATAAAGTAGCTTGCGCCACGACGCATGCGTCATTCAAAATAAGCACCTCTTCTCGGTTCACCATAGTAAGGAGGGCCGTCTGGTGAGACATCTCAATTCATGTTACTCTGAGAACTGGGGTTACGTAAGTAACCTATAGTTCTCATTCATAACACTCCGTTCGATGTCTCACTATGGGAAATTGTAGCTCCCGTATTGTCAGACGAGCTTATCTCGAAAATCACCAAACCAACCAGAACTTAACAGGTAGAGCTCTGACTCAACCAGGTGCCCAGCACTGCTTGAGTCACACTGGGAGCAGAACGCGGACCCGAGGGTGCCTGCGAACTCTGACTCGTATGAGCCCCAAAGCAATTGCTTCCACAAACCAGTGGGAGAGCCGTTGCTTAGTAACAGGCTTGCCCTTATAAGGGTTAGCCCAGGACACAAGGGGTTGGTCATTATGACGAAGCACCCTTGATCTGTCCCTGTACGTGCGTAAAGCACGGGCTGGACACGGCAAATCCGGCCGCTGTTCCCCGGAGGAATACAGTGGCGGGGAGGATGCCTCAATGTCAAATGTGGTACCTGAACCAACCGCCTTAAGATAAAGGCAGGGTTGGGCTTCAACCACACTCTGTTTGCCCTGGGGCAAACTGAGTGCATGAAGACTGTACAGATAGTGCATGAGTGCCACTGGCTCGCTTGGCAGCTGCCAGGGTCAGTTTCATGTCACACTGTATTCAGATTGTACCACTCACGGGCCAGGCCCATAGAGCCAAGCGCTCTGGGTGTGGGTGAAAGATCGCCCCCCCCCCGCTTGGGACAGTATGTCCCTGCGTAGTGGGAGCTGCCATGGCTGCCCGCACAGCAGCTGATATATCTCCGCTAGCCAGTACATAGCTGGCCAGTGCGGAGCTATCAGGATAAGTGTGTGGCGTTGCTCTCTCACTCTGGCCAGAGTTGGGGGTATCAGAGCCAGGGGTGGGAACGCGTACAGAAGGCCCGGGGGCCAATCGTGTGCGAGTGCATCCACGCCTAACGGTGCATTTAGATCGCGCATCGAAAAGAACAGCTGACACTGAGCGTTGTCTTTCGATGCGAACAGATCCACCGCGGCTCTGCCGTAACGCACCCACAGCTGGCTCACAATCCTTGGATGTAGAGTCCAGTCTGCATAAAGTGGTATACCTCTGGACAGTAGATCTGCCCCGAGGTTCATCACTCCCGGTACGTGCGTCTCTCTCAGAGAGAGGAGACGTCTACCGCTCCATAGGATCAGTTTGCGCGCCAGTGTGTGTAACTGGAGAGAACGTAAACTCCCTTGGCGGTTAATATACGATATTGTGGTCGTATTGTCTGTCCTCACGAGGACGTGATGTCCCCTGAGGAAAGGCAGAAAGCGTTTTAGGGTGAGAAACACCGCTAAAAGCTCCAGGTAATTTATGTGCGCCCGCTGGAGGTCTCTGCTCCAGAGACCCCTCACCGGGCGACCTTCATAAATACCTCCCCAACCTGTCAGACATGCGTCCGTGGTGACCACTTTCCGTGAAAGGACAGCACCCATAGGCACACCTCGTACTAGAAAAGTCTGGTGCAGCCAGTGGCGCAGTGCCATTACGCATTTCACAGTAACCATCACTCTCCAGCCCTCCAGTGTCTGAGCACTGTGGTGCCCCATTTCGACAATCCCCACCGACACAGCGCATGCGTGTGGCGGTGGTGCCCTTGCGGCTCCAGCCGGCACTGCGCATGTGCGTGACGGTGGTGCCTTCACAACCCCAGCCGGCACTGCGCATGCGCGTGACGGTGGTGCCTTTACAGCTCCAGCCGGCACTGTGCATGCGCGTGACGGTGGTGCCTTCACGACCCCAGCCGGCACTGCGCATGCGCGTGACGTGACGGTGGTGCCTTTACAGCTCCAGCCGGCACTGCGCATGTGCGTGACGGTGGTGCCTTCACGACCCCAGCCGGCACTGCGCATGCGCGTGACGGTGGTGCCTTTACGGCCCCAGCCGGCACTGCGCATGCGCGTGACGGTGGTGCCTTTACGGCCCCAGCCGGCACTGCGCATGCGCGTGACGGTGGTGCCTTTACGGCCCCAGCCGGCACTGCGCATGCGCGTGACGGTGGTGCCTTTACGGCCCCAGCCGGCACTGCGCATGCGCGTGACGGTGGTGCCTTTACGGCCCCAGCCGGCACTGCGCATGCGCGTGACGGTGGTGCCTTTACGGCCCCAGCCGGCACTGCGCATGCGCGTGACGGTGGTGCCTTTACAGACCCGTCAATTGTCCGCCCTTTGAGAGAGGCCGTAGCTGCTCTCAGAAGGGGAACAGTTGACGGACTGTTTATTGTTTTTCTTTTCATTTTTTCGAGCTGCGCCCTTGGCTCGAAGCCTGGATGCGTCAGCGGAAAATGTTTTATGACAGAAAAATCAATAAGTGTGTGACATGTGTTTATGCGGACTTGAGGATGGTGTTGAGGCATCTCTCGAGGCGGCGGGAACACATTTAGAGCTGGGGAACCGTAGACTTCCAGCTCTGTCACAGAGGGGAGAAGGAGGGGCTGTCACGCCGCTCGCTTCTTCTTCCTCGACTGCTGGCCGAAATTCTGGGTTGGCTGCGCCTGGGCTGCAGCCGGAACCGGAGATTTTCTAGGCCAGCTCGCCCTCGTCCCCTGCCTGGGCTGGGGACTCGGGGCGGACTGCGACCTCTGCGTTTTCGGTATTTTGAACCGAGCAGGGTTCGGGGCAGCTTGGACGAAGGGCTGCCGCTGCGAAGGCAGCGGCTGGGCGCTTCGAGGGAGGCAGAGGTGGAGGGCCTCGTCCTCCTTCTTTTTCGACTCGCATCTCCTCTGCATGGAGGCAAGAGCGGAGCCGAAAATCCCCTCGGGAACGATGGGCATGTCAAGCACATCCTCCTTTTCCCGGTCTGGGAGGTTGGTGAGGTTGAGCCATCTAGCTCTTTCCTGCACCACCATGATCCCCATTGTTTTGCCCGTGGCCTGGACGGCGCAGCGTTGGACACGGAGACAAATGTCTGTGACCGCGGCCAACTCATCCAGAACGGCCGGTCCAGGATTACTCAACATATCCTCACAGAGCTCCGCTTGGTATGCGGTTAGCAGTGAGGAAACGTTCAGAGCCCTGGCGGACAACGCTGCGGCTCTGTAGGACCGTTCAGTCATGGTCGACTGGAAACGGTCCACCTTCGCTGGCAGCGTGGGGTTCCTGCTTGGTGACGGGCCCATCCTATGTAGGAGGTGGGCTGCCACCAGCAGTTCCATCGGCGGTATGCGGAGCAGGTCGAGCCTCTGCGGGCGAGACCATGGTGAGGTCTCGCCGGGAGCTCCCGCCTGGTCAGGCGTGGGGCTCCGTTCCCGCGTCTCTTGCCGCCACCGTGTCCCAGCCTGACACGGCGTGGGATCCCGGTTCCGCAGCTGCCGCTGTTATGGCGCGTTTCCACTGCAGGCCTCGTTCGGCCTCGCTCGGTTTGGTTAGGCCTTATTAGGCCCGGCTCACTTTAATGCTGCGTTTCCATTACAGTTTAGGAACTGGGGCAGTTACTATAGTAACGCAGTGTAGACGGAGCCGTGACGTCATCTTCAATGAGAGCCCCAGAAAAACAACACAGCCGTTAGCTCTTAGCACTCAGAGCTCACAGCTCTTCATATCTGTTCAGAAACTTGACAAAAGTTAAACAAGTACAAACCACAGACTGCCTGTGTCATGGCGAATACAGTCGCTGGTTTATTTATGTCTGTATAGGCCGTTGTTGTGAGTGTGGACGGTCGGAGCATATATAACGTTAGCTTAGCCAAGCTACATTTAGAAAACACGCATTTTAAAAGGGTTTTTCGCCTGCCGTCTGTCTGCAGACTTGTCAAAGCATTAATTCATGGTTTTTACTAACCGGTATCAGTATGTTGTTACTTCGGCATCATTTTGAAACGTGTATTACAATTAATTCATGGTCAAATATGTTCATCTTGTTGTAGTTGTAGCCCCTTTGCCAGCGATTCTCTCTCTAGTTTAGCATACTCAGCCCGACTCAGCCTGGTTGTTCCTGGCCCTAGAACCACGATTTAGTCGGGCCAGAAAAAAGGTGAAAAAGTAGCCCCGGGCCAAAACTAGGCCAAGTGGAAACGCAACCAAAAACGGGCCCCGATCGGGTCGGCACGCTTAAAGCGAGCTACCCGCTGCAGTGGAAACGCGCCATTAGTGAGCCCCAGACCGACACAGTGAGGGGCTCAGTCTCTGCGGCGGACGCCCCCGTGTCTTGATTGCCAAACGGCGAATCAGTGGACATGAGGGAGTCCTGTTCCAACAAGCTAGCTTGGTGTGCTAGCCGTCGGTGGATGCTCTTTCGGGTGAAAAGGGCACAATGCCCGCACGAGCCGGGGTTGTCGATAGCCTCCTGGGCGTGTTCCAGCCCGAGGCAGGACGAGCAGACCTGGTGTGAGTCTGTGCCTGCTATCTTCAACCCGCAGCCGCATGACCGAGCCTCCGAGTCCCTGACTCCTCTGGTGTGAGGGGGAGAGGCGTCCATCTTGTTCGCCTCGTGGCGTGGAGAGGACCCGCTCGTAACAGGTACGTCGTTGAGAGAAAAAGTGTTACCAACCCGTCCTTAATCCGGAGAAAAAGGGACGGTGTGGGTCCTTTGTTCTCAAAGAATATTGACTGGTGTGTCAATATACTTCTAATCCTTTTCTCCTCCGTGAGAGAGAAAAACAAAAGCGTCCTCGCTACCGTGGTGTCGGTAGTAAGGGGAAGCTAGCTAGCAACAGGTGCGTAGCTAGCTTGAGAAAAATCAAAACCTTACCTTACTTTCCGGGGAAAGAAACGGCGAGGTCGATTTTAATACTAACTGTGTGTGTGTGTATTACCGTCTTCTTGCGAGGCAGAAGGAGTAGCCGGCGAGCGCCCGTCGACCGAAATGGTTATATTTGGGTTTAGTCTGTGGACCGTTAAGCTTGTCCGGCTACTATAGAGATGTGCTCTGAAGCGAGAAGAGGTGTTTGAATGACGCATGCGTCGTGGCGCAAGCTACTTATAGGGGGTGAATTCCCTGACGCTGACGTCAAGATCACCAGCCAATCAGGATTGGCGTAATGAGATTGATGCTTCTGTTTGCTCCGCGATGAGGCGCATCCCATAGTGAGACATCGAACGGAGTGTTATGAATGAAAACTGCTGCGTCCAAGTTCAAAACTCAAATATAATCGTAAAAGAGCTCTGAAGATGTCATCAACATATCGTATACTTCAATTTGTTTTTGTATTATGCAGCTGAAGTGACATACATGTCCCTGAGAGCAACACGGAGGATGTATTGTATTGTGAATACAATGATCACTATCATGACACAAGAGGGGACGGCAGGACTGTAATTTCCAGTGTTCAGTGAATGCAACAGAGGCAAGACACCAGACCAATCAGAGAGTTGCATGGAAATAAAAGTGTGCTTGTGTCATTCAAGCTCGGCTCTGTGTGTGTGTGTGTGTGTGTGTGTGTGTGTGTGTGTGTGTGTGTGTGTGTGTGTGTGTGTGTGTGTGTGTGTGTGTGTGCGTGCGAAAATAGCGCATTTAGTGTGTGAGAGAGAGAGAGAGAGAGAGAGAGAGAGAGAGAGAGAGAGAGAGAGAGAGAGAGAGAGAGAGAGAGAGAGAGAGTTAGCTAGTTGCACTAACGGAGCTGTTTGTTCCACAACAAGCTGGAGGAGAGCTCTCCTCTCAGACTGAGAGGCTCAGGTGAGCTAAAGGACTCTCTGAGTGGTTAGATAGTTAACTTTAGTCTAAGTTATCTCAATGGGTCTCAAACGGTTTGGTCACAAATTATTCAAAAGATTATTTCTGCGGCACACCTTCATATGATCATTATAGTTATAAAAAAAAATAAGAGAATAAAGGAAAAACAGTTATGAAATACTATAAGGCAGTAAAACAAGAATACAGTTTGAAAGGAGAGTGATTTGTAAAATATCCATAAAGAAAAAGAGAATCTGCTTACAGTAGTGTTTCATCTGGGTGTTGAGAGATGTATCCATAGATCTCTTAATGTTGCTCTCAAAGTGCACCAGATTGATGCTTTTAACTTCAATATTTAAAACAAATCTTCCCGGGGGAGCATCCCCCCGGACCCCCCTAGAGGAGGTGAGGTCCGCTCCCCACTCGTAAAAAATAGCACTTTACCCCTGCCTATATGCCGTGAGCTGATTATCAAGCCTTCATTTTAACAGTCGCGGGTGTACTGTGTGTTTGCGTGTGGGGAGTGCTTTTGTGCGTGCTCTATAGTGCCCGTAATAGTGTTCACTGGAGTCCAGCACCTCAGCACCCCCACTCAAAATACCTTCCCGCGCCTCTGATCCCCTCTGTTTTAGCCCTGTTTCAAAAGTGCTGATTCTCTGTCTGTTACTTTAGATGAAAAATAAGGAGCCACGCCCCTCTGAGAGATATTTGGTTAAAAAGAACACAATGGTGCTCTAGGAGGAGATTCAGGTGATAAGGTGGGGAGGGGGGGGGGGTGTTACCTTGGTTGGCTTGTTATTGGCTAATGGTGACACAAGCCAAACAATCGTTATGACATCATAAAGTGGCCAAAATCTGATCAGCTCATTTTCAGACAAGTTTTTATATAAATGGCTCAGGACAAAAAGAGAGAGAATCATTTTTCCTGAAACTTTCAGAATCTCTTTACGCAGAGGGGACACATGTTTATGTATAAAAGACATGACAAAGTGGATTTTGCATAATAGATGACCTTTAAAATCCAAATGTTGAATCAGTTTGCTTTGTAATGGCTGCTCAGAATGGGGATATATAGTCAGTTCTGGGCCTACAAATCTGCACCACTGGGACAGACATCTACATGTGCCCCAAGTAGAACAGTGATTGATTCATAGTGACTTCTGCACCCTGAGGAATACAGCCCACACAATATGAGCTCAAACAAGAAGTGTTACTACTGTACAGAATCAGCAAAATCTGAAATTTCACTCACCATTTACAACCACAATGTTCAATCCTGATCCCACATTATTCTTCACATTGCTCATAATGCTGTTGAGATACAAATAAGGTTGAGATACAACACATTGCAATCCTTTGTCAATTCAGGTACTAACCATAACATAACGCACATTTTACCCTCAAAACATATCTTTGGTCCGACTACATTAGCTGCTCCGCTGACGATGTTAAAAGCAAAATGGTCGGGCGGACAGACTCTGGAGAGGCCGCACTTTGCCTTGGGTGCTGTTGTAACTGAAAATGCACATGGAAAATTACTTCTGATTTTAATACATAGTTAATGTGTAGGGCATATGATGTCAAAAATATATCATGATTACATTTACCTGTTTTTAATTTTGGTTTGGTAACCTTAACTCTATTGAACCCTAAAATAAAAGATCAGTAATATTAAGATGTGGTAAATACAAATGAGGAGAGGTAGTTCAAGATTTGTGATGTAATAAGTAAAAGTTAGCTCACTGAGAATATTCCTTGCTTTCTCCTGTACATCGAATGAATTGAAGGAGACTGCCCAGGTTATTAGGAGGACAACTATTACAGCAGCAAGGGGCAGAACAGCTGAAACCACAAAGAGAAAATAGATGAAGATTGGCAGACATAAAACCTTGACTACTTGTTTTGGAAGTAAAGTGAAATCTTACCTCGATTTCTCATATCTGAGATCAAAAGAACTTTCGGTTCCCAAAAGAGCTGAGACTTTTGAAATGTACGTCAAGTAATTCCAGTCAGCAGCAAAGTATTGTATATACAGGAGAGCTTCTGAATCTCTGAACACTCCCTAACTATCACGCCTTCGAGGAAAGGTGTTTTAAAAAAAAAGAAAAAAAAAGCTCTCCTCCTTCTTGTGATACATTAAAACCAGGATGTGGAATTAGAGACCCAGCCACTGTTTACTATATGATCAGGTTTCTCTCTTCTACAATGTCAAATATAGGACAGTGTCTAACAGTAACAGATACTCTTTGTGGTGAACAATGTGGTTTGCAAACAGAAGACAAGGGCATGTAACAAGAGGGGAAAAAAAGCTTTTAGCTCCGTGTTAAGTGTTGGATGTGTACATTTGAAAGAAACATATTTTAAGAATCCCTGTGTCATTTATCCGTTTTCAATTTGTATGTACAGTTGCAAGAAAAACCCTTTGGATTCTCCACACATAGCGTTGTGTGTTCCTTCCAAACAACTCAACTTTGGTTTCATCTGTCCACAGAATATTTTGCCAGTAGTGCTGTGGAACATCCAGGTGCTCTTTTGCAAACTTCAAACGTGCAGCAATGTTTTTTCTGGACAGCAGTGGCTTCCTCCGTGGTGTCCTCCCATGAACTCCATTCTTGTTCAGTGTTTTACGTATCGTAGATTTGTCAACAGAGAAGTTAGCATGTGCCAGAGATTTCTTTAAGTCTCTAGCTGACACTCTAGGATTCTTCTTCACCTCATTGAGCATTCTGCGCTGTGCTCTTGCAGTCATCTTTACAGGACGGCCACTCCTAGGGAGAGTAGCAACAGTGCTGAACTTTCTCCATTTATAGACAATTTGTCTTACGGTGGACTGATGAACATCAAGGCTTTTAGAAATACGTTTGTAACCCTTTCCAGCTTTATGCAAGTCAACAATTCTTAATCGTAGGTCTTCTGAGAGCTCTTTCGTGCGAGGCATGGTTCACATCTGGCAATGCTTCTTAAGAATAGTATTAGTAAGTATTTTTTATAGGGCAGGGCAGCTTTAACCAACACCTCCAATCTCGTCTCATTGATTGGACTCCAGGTTGGCTGACTCCTGACTCCAATTAGCTCTTGAAGAAGTCTTTAGCCTAGGGGTTCACATACTTTTTCCACCCTGCACTGTGAATGTTTACATGGTGTGTTCAATAAAAACATGAAAATATATAATTGTTTGTGTGGTATTAGTTTAAGCAGACTGTGTTTGTCTATTGTTGTGACTTAGATGAAAATCAGAACACATTTTATGACCAATTTATGCAGAAATCCAGGTAATTCCAAAGGGTTCACATACTTTTTCTTGCAACTGTAGATGTTAGGAAATCATATGTGTGTCAAGTTATTTGTGTAAAACTACTATTATACAAAGATTCATACAGACTTTAAAATAAAGCAAAATTCATCTCTCACAAAGGGCAAATAAATAAGCACAATACAGTAGGCAATACAAAAATAAATGTAAATAAACTTAAAACAGGTGAGAAACATTTCACAAAACACCTTTATTTTACCTGTGATACAGGAAAATGTCACTGAGAATAAAACAGTTTTTTCAAAGGAAACCTGGCCAACAGGAAGTGCCAATTCTGGTATTTCAGTAAACACAACTTACATAGAACAAAACGGTGTGTGTCAAGGCATTTTAATCCCTACTTCTAATGGATGGAAAACACTGTTTACACAAGAATTAGGCGTCATGGACTGTTACAATTGTGAAAGGCATAATTAGGCCGAGCCCTGGTGTCAGTAAGCATCTGCAGCGCTGATCCTCTAACAGAAGCTCAGGCCGAGCTTTCACCTGCCTCGGGGGGTCCAAACTAAAAAAGCATTTCCCTGCAGGCAGTAATGAACTGATGTTATGACTGTTATTAAAGTCCAATCATAATAAGGTCATAATTTATCCATCATAAAACAGTCGCTGATCGGGGGAATTAAAGCCTCTGTGTGGCCATGTTTTGAAAAAGGAACGAACTAACTCAATGTTTGAACAGCTCCAGAGCTCGAGAACAAAACCAACTGGAAGCAAATTATTTATACAGACGATACGAGGCAAGAGCTCAAGATATTTTAAGCTATTCATATTTTAATGTATTTAATTACTCAAAAAGTAGTTGCCACATATTGAACACGGTGCCATCCGAGGCCCGAGGAGAGCAACCAGTCTGTTATACAGCTTTGACGAGAATACATTACTTTGAGAATTAAAAAACTTAAATTGAAAACATGTTTCAAATGTACAGTAAGTATGTGCCGTAACATTAGATTTTGAGTTTATAAATACCATGAAGTATTTTTCCGTCACACGTGGTTCAATAGAGGGCTGTTAGTGCCACATATGAAGGAATTTACATTATAAAAACTTCAAATTCCCAACATGGTGTAATACTTAATGAAACCAATAGAGGGTCTATGTGTACCACGTTTTACTGATAAGCATTATGCATTCAGAGAGTGACTATAACACTGTAGGACCAAAATATGCATCTTTTGTTCTTTTAAAAATAGAAGAATTTCCTGTCCGCTTAAGCAGGAATAATAAACAGTTCCTTTTTGATAAAGCACAGATGCTCTTCAAAGAAGAGACAGAAAGAGTGAATTATGCAGGACATGAGTTGGACAGAACAAGGACAATCCAAGCAGATGGCGAACACATCAGCCACTCCTCTGCATGAATACATTTAATAACCCAACATAAATATTTCTAAAATGAACACCAGAGTATAAATTACATGCAGAAGTCAGCGTTGACATAATTCACACTATCATCAGTAATTCTAGAGGACAACATAAATATCTCCAACATGAACACCAGAATATAAATTATATGCAGTCGCCCTCACTGACATAATTCACACCATTCCTATCAGTAACTTTAGAGAAAACCCTTTCTTAAGATATTTGCACAAATCTGCAAGAATAAAGGAACTTGAAACTCTTTAGGGGGCAACAGATTGATTTCATTGCTTAATTGTTTATCATACCAAATCTAATTCAAAAGAGAAGCTTTAGTGAGACAATTTTCTGATTAATTACTTATCAGTATAAGCTGTCGCCACATAATAATGTCACTCGGGACTCCCTAGCAGGTGGGGTTGGGGTTGTGGCAAATGCAGCTTTCAAAAAATCAGCCGAGAAGTCAAATTAAAAGAGTCTGTGATCTCTGAAGGAAAATCATGCACTTAATTAAGAAGTATTCTGTATTTTCATTTGTTTTTAACATGGCAATTACTGTGATTTGTTTACATTTTGATTTGTTATTTCAAAAATTTGATTTCATTTTTTTTGTCAGTGGCACAGCCTTTAGTCAACCATTCAGGAGAATGTATTTTCAGTGCGATCAGCAGCACTAGCCTTCTAATATAACATCTGATCGAGGGGCCATAAAGGTTTCAGAAGGGAGGGAGCAGAATCAGAGATACTTCAAGGTGAGCTGAGGTATAAGCTACACTGACAACAATATTGATGGAAGTACAACACATCAACATCTTAATGACTTTTTTCTCACAAACTGATATACACAGTTGGACAGTAAGAGGATGTGAGCACAATTAGCTGACACTAAAATGATGTTGGAGCGGCTGAAATATCACAACCTTTACTCCTAACCTACTAATAAAACTGTAGGCACAGACGGAGTACGACCTTGATGTTTAAAACTGGGGAAGTGATGCTTGAAAAGATCTAGTAAACCCATTAATGGGGCGAAGCCTGCGAGCTAGTTCAGGCAGTCAACTCGAGCACTTATGCTGCATTCATACATAACGCCCCTTGCCACTCTACAACCAACCAAACAAACAGAGTCTCCTTAATATGCCGCTCTATTTAACCTGCCAGATCTCTCTCCATGCATTGCTTGCTGCTGCTATTGCCGCAGCTACTCCACGTCGCTGCTGCTCGCTGCCCCACCACCACCCCAGCTTCCACCTGTAGGCTCGGGGTTAGTTATTTAATCATCACTCATCGTGCTATGTATATCTATGGAGTGATGAGGCCCGAGCCTAGACGCCAAACTCAACTATATGCTGCTTCTAATAAACATGTTAAAGAAACACGTGAGTTGTCTGACTGAACTGGCATTAAACATAAGGAAATAACACTCTCATAAGAAATCGAGCCAGATGAAGAATACAAATCCTGAAACATAATCCACAGGTGCAACAAATCCATTAGTCCAGTCGTCTGAAAATTAAATCATCTCTTTTATATTCAGTCTTTATATTATTGTTCAGTGAATAAAAAATCCAAACATTTTGTAAAACATGAGAAGTTTTCAATTCCTCGATATATAATAGGTTTAAAACACATTTGAGCTTGAAGAAAAAGACGAAGGGTATTTTCTTACTTTTTTCTGATGTTGACTGGATCAAAGGATTCATCTACAAGGAAAACAATCTTTTGCTGAAGTCCTTAAGCACACAATTCATCCAAAACAAACTCAGCCAGTCCTGCAGCATCCCCCTCGGACACTTATTCCAGAAGATCCTGTCATGAGAAAAAAAGACATGACTGTGAAGAGAAGGAAAGTAACAGCTGTGTTTCTGTGGGATACACAACGGTGAAAAATATAGTCAGGGTAGCCATGAAGCACTGACCTCATCCGACTCCTCTCCCACTGTGCAGGGCCCCGTGTCCCCCCCCTCTGTCATGGCTGAACTCTGTTCCTCCATTCCCCTCAGCGTGGAGTATCTGTAACTCGCCTCACTGAAAACAAGTGACAGACCAGGGTGATGTGTTCATACTGCACTGAGGATTTGAAATACTCTCATACACGCTCATTTATAAAGTCTGCTTACTTGACTGGGTAGCAGTATTTTCGGATGATCAATAGAGCAGCAAGTATTGCTGCCACAGAGACGAAGACCACCGATGCAATAACCCCAGGGTGAATTCGACCTAACCCTGCCTAAAAAGACAAATTAATTCAATCTAATGAGATCTAACAGTGGGGTAGTTAAAGAGCCCATAAACCTAACAGCTCAGTTCATGATGTGTGGCTCAGATAAAAAAGGAAATACCGGCAGGAGATATGACAGCTGAACAGCGTGTGTGTTATGGATCACACTGGTGTACGACCCAAAAGCTCAACAGCAGGAGTGTGAATCACAGGCCCAGCAGGGAAACGGAAGCAATTTTGACAATAAATGATCACACACGTCAGCACTATCACAAACCAATATCTTTAAAGTCAGAGCTGCGCATAAGATCATACACTCTGTAACGTTAGGATTAGAGTGCGAAAACTTTAATCTTTAAGTGTTAATTATGATTCACAAGACCAGAAGGTTACAATTCAACAATTAATCACACATCAGGAGGTGTCTGAGCTGAGATGTGATGTGATATCACCTCACTTATATTCACGTTGTTATTTAGTATCAATATACATGTGGCCTATCACTTTCTTATTATACTTTTTTAATTTAAGGTGCTGAATTGAAGTTGAAAGCTTAATATTCATCTTTTACAGACTATGGCTGAAAGACATCTTTGATTTGCAGCTTCCTATACAGTTAATCAAGTGCATACAGTCTGAGTGGAGACACAAAGTCTGCTAAACCTAATATTATCATTATTATTTTTTAGAGTAATATGAATCTTGATGGATGTGTATGTTTAGTTAGTTCACTTTGCTAGAACTTCAATGAATCCAAAAGTTCTGTAAAACAGTGAGTATTGTGCATGAAAAACCAGAATGTAGCCTAACAATAGGTGCATTTCTTAGCGTTTTTAGTGCCTATTGTAATAACTTGAATGAAATCAGCCTGTATGGTTCTTCAACGAATAAGGTAAACATACCCATATTTAAATTTCCCAAAACTCTAGGCCTTTTTGTACAAAAGGTTAAAAGTCACGGCAAACAATATACACGGAGTTACTTTTGTTATGTTCCTGAGAATTACATGACTCGCCATTGTAACACCACGGTCATAATAAACTGTTTGTATTTTGGCATGTCCAGGGCTATGTCTTTCAAACTATAGATAGACCATTACCGGAAGATATCAGCGGATCTGTCAGACATTTTCACATATTTACCTTTTCTGCTGACATCCTCGTGACTTATCAAGCCCCAAATAGTTTTGGGGAATTGTAATAAGTTAATACTAAATGTTGTCTGTAAGTTATCGCGCTGGGTCAAACCATGGTTGTTTACTTCCTGGTTGCTCTAACCTGTTGCAAGCAGTCGACGCCCCCTTTCAGGAGACGTCACTCGACATTTGGTGTATGGTTTTGTGTCACGTGGCTTTTATGAGGAGATGCAGTCTATGGATGAAATTCATCTATAACAGTATCGAGGTTTGTAGTTTTTAATGCACAAAATACATTTTTTTTATTATTGATAAAACACCCAAGCCTCAAATTCCTCTACAGTATCTTCTAGAAAAGGTAACACATTTCTGTGGAACATCCCTTTTGGCAACATTCCTGAGTCATACACAGGGCCGCCCCTGGCCAACTTGGGGCCCCAAGCGACATTGTGAGATGAGGCCCCCCCCCCCCAACCGACAGGAGTGAAAACATTTTTTTTGGAAACAAAGTACTTTGCAAATATAATTCCTGTTTATTATTATTATCAACACAGTTACTTTGTATACAGTGAGGTAAATGGTAAATGTGCATGTATGTCGTTCAGTGTGCGTTTACAGGTGAATACGTCTGCATTTCCTGCCAAATACTAGCCTCAAAAAGATTAAAATATAATTAATGCAAATAAACTATTTCTACTAATGATAATAATAATCATAATCAATTGAATAATATAAATACTATATTTTATTATAATATAGTTGTAATATAGTCAAGACAAAACATGCTTATGACATGCTCAAAAACTGATATTTCTTAAATCTGTATTCAAATGAAGTTCCCTCTGTCAGCAATGTATCAACAACTACACACACATTTCTATCAGTATTTCTCTGTGTTGTAGTTGACATGACGATGACTGTTACGGCCCGTCCACACAGCGGCTATGGAAAAAGCTTGCCGGCGGGCGTGTCTGAAGCTCGACCAACAACCAATCACATGAATCTCCCGCCCCAGACACACAAGCAGCGGTTTGATTGGCTAGAGCTTGTACTGGCATATGATTTGATTGGCTGACGCTTCCACCGAAAGCTTCAGAAGCTTAAAAAGTTGAACATTGCTCAACATTTGCAGCCTGAAACGCCAGGAAAGCTCCGCTCTGCTTCCCACAATGCAGTTCGGCGAAAAGTGACGTCACCTGCAGTCAAAGTGAATGGGCAGAAGCGTTGGAAGAAGCTTCCAATGCCGCTGTGTGGACGGGCCGTTAGGAGTTAAGGGGAGAGGCTGAGCATCAACATGAAATGTGCAAATTGACATAAAAATGAATAAAAGGGGAACAAATGCTCCATGTTTTTTAGGCTGTAAACTTGAACTGTTATGTAAGCCAACTAGACAGACAGTGTATCACTCTTCCTCCTGTACATTAGCAGATACAAGGCATCACATACTTGAATGAATGTTAAATAAAGAATGCTGGAAATAACTGCATCTCCATTAGCCTGTATGCTCTGCAGAGACTGCCTTCTTCATGTCGTGAATTGCAGCTGATGTTTTAATATGGCAATTGGCAATTTGACTTATACAACATTCGCAAGTTGTACATTTGACTCATACAATAACACACCTTCGAGTGATGCTCTAGTTTCTTCATGTTTTTTTTCTCCCCCTCTTGCTCGCTCCGGACTGAAACTGTCTTTTCACCGACATCTCTTCACCTGCACTAGTGGCCGTATCAAAGCCGTGATTGGTCAGATGTCGATTCATTGCAATGGTGTCGGGTTACAGACGTGCTCCCCTCGTCACCTCTCACTCTCAAGAGGCTTCTCAATACTCAAATGTCCCCTCCTCGACTCCCCTCCTCGGTTCCCCTCCTCGAGACTTAGACCCGCCCACAGGAGATGCGAGCGGAGGACAGAGGAGTCGAGCAGTCGAGGAGGGGACATTTGAGTATTGAGAAGCCTCTTCACTCTCGCGGGGGGTGCGCGGAGAACTCATGGATGTATAATAAGAACTGGATACAGCGTGGGAGGCGGGGCCTCATTCATTCCTATGAGAGTTGCTCATTAGCGCATGATGATAAAATGGCCCAACTTTTGAGAGAGTGAAACGTCACAGATTACCCGGCATGCCTGAGAAGTACCCGTATGTGCGCTCATAGCGCATGCGCAACTTTAACCAAAATGCTTGTTCATATCAAGCACGTCAATTTGCGTACACGTAACAGCACCGCGCGTTCATGACAGCATGGTAATATTGTTGTTATCATGGATTTGATATTAACGAGGCGGCAGTTAGCAGCTAGCGGCTAGCTAGTAATGATGCTAATGTACACATCAATCGTTATGTACTTATATTACATTGTAACAGGATCTAGTGATATCCAACAGAGCTTCATTTAGCATGAAATAATTATTGCACTGTATATATACACACACAGTGCAATACGCTTCTTAGTGCAATAATAAGCTACAGGGACGTTAATCTAACGTCGGTAATATTAACTTTATTCAATACAACATTTACGGTACAAGATTTAATCATACAGCCCATGTAGTATACTATTTTACAAATGATGAATTACAGCAAACATGTGCAATATATATCCATTATTACAGCTCCGTGGGATGGCAGTAAGGCGACATGGGTCCGTTGTTATTGTGCATCCATGGGTAAAGATAAACGCATGTAGTGCTGAACACGTAACTTGAACGTGCAGGGGGGTGCGATCCCGTGGGTTAGATGCGCGTTCATAATGCAGAGGGAAATAACTCTCAGAATAACGTTATTAGCACATTTTTACAACTTGAGGAACGAATGTTTTTAATAAGGGCTATACAAACGTTCATACTGGGTAGTTTATTTAGTTTTAAAAAATGTATCCAACGAGTTACAGACCACTCTTTCCCCATGTAAGTCAATGGGAAAAAGTGTTTCCGGGCCTGGCAACCAAACGGGTGTGCAGTATCGCCGTTTGGCCACCACGAATATTTTCATCTGAGTCCGGCGCACTTCCTGGGGGCTTGGGAGAACTGCGCACAGCAGCTGAGGCCCTCTGGGCGGGGCCCCCTGCGCAAGGCGGGGCCCCATGCAGCCTGCGTGATTGGCCTGTAGGGAGGGGCGGCCCTGGTCATACATCATAATATTATGTATAAAGATTATATTTAAAATATTTAAAAGACTATGAAACGTATGAGAGGTGCTCGGAAACCGCATGTGTTCCCCTTCAGGCACATCATAATATGCTAATGTTCAACCATGTGTCTATTCTATTTATTTCCTCATTTCTAAGTTCTTGTTTTGGTGTGTCCGTTACATACTACACATAAGCTGGTTGGAAAAAAGGGTTTTGCAAATAAGAGAAAACTTCTCAGACTGATCATATAATGTAATTGTGTGAATATCAGTATTTGACATAGAAAAGTGCAGACCTGGGCCCAGCATGCTGGATGGGGCGACTGAGTTGTCAGCCACTGATCCAGTGTGGGGTAATGTTTGATTAAAACTACTAGGAATCGCAATGTGATGAATGCATATTAGTTTTCCTCTTCTTTTCATTTAATTTGTTTCCTGTCACTGTCAAGCGGCAATTCATCTCAGGCTGAAAATGATTAATTAAACTTGTATAAGCCGTTCATCAGGTTTGATCAGTGTTTTGGAAAGATTAAATGACCTGCCAGCCACATGAGCTCCCCATCTGTTGGTGCAGGTTCACCTGTGAACACGGTTATTACAACAAGGGATTATTGTGACTATTATATACATCTTTATATATATATATATATATATATATATATATATATATATATACACAGTATACACCTACACACACCCTCACACAGTATGTATCATTTAGTAAGGCTTAATAGGTGAATAGCTTTGCCACAGCAGTTTCATTAAATTCACACATGGAATCAGCAACACTGTCTTCTCAAATCATATTTAATTCAAACAATATATATATATATATATACACACACCCACACAACTTATTTTCAATTACATTACTTCACAAATTATAATAAATATAGAACAAAATCTGCAATGTAGAAATCCAGGCAAAAGTTAAATCTTCTGCGTAAATAGAAGCTCTAGGATGTTATCTAAAAAAAGTTAACATATGATTTTGGTAGCCAAGACTTCTGTAAAGACTCTTTCTACCATCAGATGTGCTACTGAATGGGCCACCACCCAATGTCTTACTTATTGAGTCAGTCCCACTCCCTTACACACTGACATGAGTATTGATGGAGACACAAAGCCCCTGTTAGTTTCACATGGAAAGTTGTTTGTGAATGGGTTATTCAGTACTGATCAATAAGCTAGGCCTCAAAAACTTGATGAAGCCATTCACCCACCGTCAATAACTTATGATTTATTAATTTAGATTCTCTTGAGCTTTGAGTCAAGCTAGTTCATAGTACTTCCCCGTCTTTGGATCGAAATAGCAGTTCAGGCAAGGATCATAGAGCAGATTCAAATATTCATCCTCCTTTTCCTGTTCATTCAGCGACTCATCCCGTCCTGTTATAAAGAAAATCACTTGATATTAATTGTGCAATACATATATAACAATACATACATATAACGATGCAATTGTAATTCAAATCAATGACGTTTGCGAGGGTATCATTTTTTTTGTTCATGCATGTCAAATGTAAATTGTATTTTCTATGTACAGTAGCATAGTCATGCCAGAGATAAGTAAGGGCCTCCTCTATCAGCTGTTACTGAAATGAAATAAGAAGCCCGGATGGCGAGGTGACCTTCAGACTCAGGTGGATTTAAAAGTTTTCTGTCGCTGCCATTCTTTCCTTCATCAATCAAGTCCTAAGACAGTCCCCGTACCACATTATGAAGCAGTAAAGAGATTCCCTGTAATCCCCGCTACTTTAAAGTGGGAGAATGTCGCTGTTAAATTGACAGGCAGCTAAATGCTAAAAAGGTTATGGAATAATACTCCAGGAGGAACATTTTATCTTATCAGAACTTTGGCGACGATAATGAAAACTAATTATAAGACACATTGTGTAAGAGCTTTAAAAATGATGTTGTAAACTCAAAAGGTTTCATCAATTAACCTTGCCGATGTGTCTTGGGGGTGCAGACCTGTAATGAGCCTGTCTCTTTTGACCTATGGAGTTATGTGGAGGACAGAGAGCTCCACTCTCATGGGTTTTTACTCTTAATTAGATACAGTTTCACATGCTTTCTCACAGTGTTGAGAGCGGTCTTTGGGTGGAAGCTCTGACACCAGTGAATGTTTCCATTAGTACTACGTTTTGCATAATTACAGTGGTAAATGTTAAGGCATTATATTGTTTGCCGTCTGACTTTAAAAAGGACATCGAAGGGTGTTTGGGGGCAAAAGTACCAAATTAACATTACTGTACCTCCGATTAGATCCAAATTGTTCCATGTGTTGGCTGACCTTCTCCCATGGCTGAGAGGGATTAAGGGAGGGCTGAGCACGTCCATCCACTCCCTAGGTAAAGGGCCATAAAAGCATACAGTCATGACAACCCATGCCATTACACACACTATCCTACTGTACCATGCCCATCAAATCGCCTCCATATGACGTTTTAACAATGAAGCCCCATCATGGTGAGCTCTCAGAAGCCCATCTTAGCCTCTATTGTCCTTGAGCCCCTTCTCCTGCACACTTAGCCTCACCGCCACACAGTTTCACCTGAAGGATCATTTATTAGACTGACTCAAGCTGTGATTTGCACATGTCTGAATTCTGGCCCAGAGTAAGGGGCCTAACCTTGCCTGTGTCTCTGAGAGCAGGGCTGACTTTGTCTCTAAATGAGTTTATCTTCCCCGTCTGAGAGCTACATAGGCTACAACTATACATCAATCATTTTTCAGTAAAGTGCAACACTGCTCTTTTAGTGCGGAGCAACAGATTAGAGGAAGAGAGGAAAAAAATGCCAGAAGATGAATTATTACATGAAAGCACTGTAGGATTCATTTGTTTAACAGAATTCATAATACGGTTAGGCTATACATCAGTTGCACAATTATCTACTTACATCTTTTGCCTCCATGACTGACTTTTCTAAGGAATCGGATCTCCCGGGGGAATTGATTCCCGGCTCCACAAAGGAACCAAAGCAAGTGGTGGGCCTTCTACTCATCTTCTGCCTCTGGACATAACATCTCAGAAGTGCACATCATAGTACATTTAATTAGGTACTATAAATCCTGAACTGTGCAACATTTAGCTGACATCAGATTATTTAAACATTCATTATTAATGATTGATAATGTCTCTCCCTCTGAAGGGGTACATTCACCAACCACATTATAGTATGGTCACTAAACTAAAATCCTGACCTGTTAATGCAACCCAGTCTCACGGCATTTCGTGTTCACCAACACGATTTTTAATCTATTGATTCGTGTTCACCAACAAGATTTTCCCCTTTTTTTCGTGTTGCACAGCACGATTTTAAAAGCAATGTATTTCTACTGCCTGCAGCACGTCTTTTTCTCCGGTCGGGTCGTGGGAGACCGGAAGCTGTGTGGTTCATAAAAACATGTTCTTACTCAATATCAAGCCACAATTATTGCTTTTATTTTAAATCCTATAATTTCGGACGTTTGTTGCCGTCTGTGAGGAAAATAAATGGGGCTCAGAGCCTCAGAATACGGAAATCTGTATTTTTAAATATTTTTTTCCTTCTAATTCGTTATTCTTTTCAAAATAACACACTGTTATTTACTCACCAATAACACACAATTATCCTTGCTTTTATTTATTGGTTTAATTCCATAATCTCGGGCTTTTTTGGCGTCTGTCAGGAACTGAATTTCAAAATAAAAATAACCGGAAACAGACGTAGGCCTATAAAAGGGACATTTCGAGCATCATTGCGATTGTCAACATTTCTGAGTTTAGGATGGCCGAAGACACTACACTACCCATAATCCCCAGCTATCGTTTAGGACTACAGTCCCCGTAAGGTTACGCAGAGCGTCAAACAGCTGTGTGAAATGGAACGAAACCACGCCAGACTATCCAAAACTGGAATCGAACGCCCCCCCAGAACTACACATGCTGGTTTTATTGTGTTTTGCAAAATGTTCTATGGGACGTCTCTACTGGACATTTTCGTTTTTCCCACAATTAGAAGTTGCCAGTATTAAACACATTGGTGTTATCAAATGTAAAACATATAATTAATAAATGGGTGAAAATCGCTTGTGTCCATAATGCGCAGCATTAATATATACCCACATGACAGCTCATTGTTACTTTGTAATTCTACTCCACTACAATTCAGAGGTTAACCTGGTATTTTTACTCCACTGCATTTATTTAAGTTACTTTGCAGATTCTGATTAATTATGTGAAATATAAACAGACTTCAGTTACACCTGAGTAAAATTCAGGTAAGGTGATTGTCAAGTGCCAACAATCAGGAGAGATATTTGATAGTTGGTGCTTGAGAAGACTAAACATGTATCTGCAATTGACATGAATGGAAACGAGTAATAAAGTATATTCATTACTCGTTATTCTCTACTAATAGTTAATTAAAGACTGTATATTATGGCTATTTTGCACATCCCTTTCAAGATTTCCAAAGGTTTATTGACATATCATATACACAACTATGGTGTAGTTATGCAATGAATGAAACACTTGGGTCACAGGTTCCTCAACAGTGCATTACAAGACATCTATCAATATGTGTGAACCTCCACCATTAAACTGTCATATTCTGCACATTTCTTATTCTATCTACATACATAAGAGTATAATTCATATGTATAATATCAGTTAAAATAAGTGCTTCAACGTAGTTAACATTGCAGGAAAGCAATATATTAGACGTTAAGTACTTTGTCAGGCTTAATATTTATCTGTAGATAGATACCCCAAAGCTTTTTTCTTATTTAAAAGAAGACCTTGATCTGTTATTTAATGTTTAAATAAAGGTTAATTCGTTTTTCTGTTTTGCACCTCCTCCTATTAATATCTTTGTACATTCTGCACTAAACTGTTTTATTGTAGAGATCACTTATAGTATCTTCTTAATTTTTTATATTCTATATTTATACTTTCCTCCTATGAAAGTATGTACTCTTTATATTTTTTTAATCAAATAAAACACAATAATTCAATAACGTGCTTTAACCACTAGGAGGTGCACACAAGGTACACACAGCCATAATAACTTTGTATTATTAGACACTTATGTTTTCGTACAACATCTGAAGATGTGTAGTTTTATGCATGCCTTCACATAATTTTACAGCATATTGCTATACTATTTCAGACTCAGTATTTACATTCTTACATTCAAAGAAAATCAGTAATATCTTTAAAAACTACAGTCCTTTAATATCAGCTGTGCACCGTTATGGTGTAAATATAACCTATCTGTGAATTAGATCAAATGTAAAAGTCAGCCGAATTAGTGTTGATACTGCAAAGAGAGGTATTGTGTGAAGAGAAATTGAAGATGTTGTTTAATTGTTGAATATATTTATGATCCACGTCAAGTATTCAGTTTCGGCGGCATTTTCTCAGTTTTTCCAAAGGTCTTCTCATCAGGGCTCTATAAATAAAGAACTACGGCAGATCTGTAATATACAATGCAGCCGAACCGTGTATTACAATGCCGTTATATGATGACTTTCAAAGAGAAAAGCAAGAGCGCTCGGAATTAAGTATTATTTTATTCTTTTAAAATGTTTTCCGGATTTCATATCATATAAACACCAAATCCCAGCATGCATTGCAGCTAAAACATCCAATAAGCGAGCTTAAAACCATAGCTGAGGATCTTGGGTAATCGCTCGAAATGCCTACGTCTGTTTCCGGTTATTTTTATTTTGAAATTCAGTTCCTGACGGACGCCAAAAAAGCCCGAGATTATGGAATTAAACCAATAAATAAAAGCAAGGATAATTGTGTGTTATTGGTGAGTAAATAACAGTGTGTTATTTTGAAAAGAATAACAAATTAGAAGGAAACAAATATTTAAAAAAATACAGATTTCAGTATCCTGAGGCTCTGAGCCCCATTTATTTTCCTCACAGACGGCAACAAAAGTCAGAAATTATACGATTTCAAATAAAAGCAATAACTGTGGCTTGATATTGAGTAAGAACATGTTTTTATGAACCACACATCTTCCGGTCTTCCTCAACCCGACCGGAGAAAAAGACATGCTGCAGGCAGTAGAAATACATTGCTTTTAAAATCGTGCTGTGCAACACGAAAAAAAGGGGCAAATCGTGTTGGTGAACACGAATCAATAGATTAAAAATCGTGTTGGTGAACACGAAATGCCGTGAGACTGGGTTGGTTAATGCTACCAGCATGCTAAGTAGGTAAACATTTACATTTATAGTATATTCCCTGATTATTATGAATTTTGGCGATAAAGAGAATTTGGGTATTAGTGCATGCCAAATAATCCTCCTTTATTGCAGTAAATACTATAATAACATAAGTATAATACTGTTAGTGATGTGCTATCTGGAAATTAATGCACATGCAAAACTGTTAGATGGTATGTTAAACTAAAACTGTATGAATCAGTAAAAAGTAAAATGCACAGTTTGAAATAGAATTTACATACATAAAAACTATTGTTACCATAGATTCATCCCGATGAAATACAAAACCAACGCAATGATTTACACCCACATACAGGCCATTCATTCATATCTCATCTCAGCATGCATTCAAACCAGAATCATTTCTTTATTCCTTATCTCTTGCCTTTAAAGTGATAAAGTACATTATCTCTGTCGAGGCTCTGATTTTGCTTTCTAACAAAGGCCTTTACCCACTCTAACACCCCTTTGAGGTTGTGATAGGCAAGAACATAGCACAAAAGTTAACGAAAGCAATTTTCGAGGACAAAGGCCTCTGCTACAGAGCTGCAAATTGAACTTTCAATGTTGAAGGAACTTGGTGTGGGTTATTAAAGTCTTCTATTTTCAAGTAATTATAATCGAGATACGGTGGAACCTGTGATAAAGGGAATAAATTAGTTTGATTTCATTCGAGTGAGCACACTGTTTTTACACAGCGGTAAAGTTTATTGAAATCAAGCTTTCCAAAAACCTCCCAGCTAAACGGTGTCAAAGCAACTCTGTTTGTCTGACACTGCAATTGAACAGAATTCAACAATTGTCTTTATTGTGAGAACAATTTAAATCCTACTCTTGGGTCCTGTGACAGCCTGATTTGTGGTTTTAACATTTGGTATTCCAGCCAGAGGCAGACGCAAGTAACAAGCAAAGAAACATGTTAAAAATGCTAAAGCCCTGGCACCATTAAGCACAGCAACAGGAGCATTTCAGCTGTTAAGAAAACTGTAGCCCTCAAAAGCGAGGAAGCCTTGCAGTGATGCCAAGATCCTCAAATAATACCATGATAGAATTCACTGGAAGGGTGTCTCAGAATGCAATTCCTGAAAGAAAAGGAGCAATAACAACGACAAATCCTGTGCAGCTGCTCTTCCAATATGTAAATCAAAGCTTCGAAGTCTTAATTCAGTACAGCTGCGGATGCTGTGTGAGGGAGAATGCTTAAGGTCTATAGCAATATTAATTTCAGTGGACATTCAATCAAACATAACCTCACTGAATATTTCAACCAAAAACATGTAAGCATTGAAATAAGAAAGTATTTCATCTGAGTTTACACATGTTCATGACAAGCTGCTTCGCTTTTCATCAATAAATCAGAAGTGTTAGAGAGGAGGTGGTAGCATATTTGAGTTTCAGACCTATGACGCAATCCCTTTGTCTTGTTTTGTAACATGCAGCAGGATTGTGTACATCCACAAAGAGATGGAGAGGTGCAGAGAACGGACTCAGTGGTGTGAGGCGGGGTCTCCATAGCCCTCCGAGGGGAACTGAGAGATCCATCAATCTGCTGCCACGGTCGGGCCTGGTGTGTGTGAGACTTTAGATTCAGCCCAGATGGTCATGTGTGATAGTGTATTACGTACTAAAGAATGTTTTATACCTCATCCTGTGATTTAACATTTTAAAATCTGCCTCGGAGAGCGTCCCTTCCAGGAATATAACAAAAACACAGATCCAACTAAAATGTCAATACGGGTTGCACTTTATAGTTCTTTTTCATCTCGTTTTGAAAAAAAGCCCTTTTAAATGAACTTAAAAAATAC